TAGGAATATAGAGAATTACAGTGTAAAGCATGCGAGAAGCAATGTGGGCTCCAGTAGGATATTGTTCTAGTTCAATCTGCAATAGCAAAAAAAAACATTCTTTCTGAATTTAGAAATCAAGAATCACACTACATGTGTAGACCCAATTAAAGGAAAAGTGCATGGAGATGTATAATTCAACAAAAAACAGGGGACCTTTGGGCTGGAGAACTGTTCAAGAGAACCCAGAAGACCTTCTAATTGCTTCAGCTTCATCTTCTCCTGATGACTGCTAAAGCTCCTCTACACTCTGTGTGTGTATGAGAGAGAGAGACTTCTTTGATGGTTCGGTGGACAAGAAAAACCCCTAGTTGCAATCGAGACAACATCAGCCCAATATGTTAGTAGAAGAGTGGGGCCAGTTTGTGATTTAGCCCAAATGATCTGAAAAGCTTCCTCTACTTTGTTTCATGGTTTCATTTCGCGCAAAATCGCCGAATTTATTATTGCTATATCAGTAAATTATTTTGGGAGCTTTACAGAATCGGACCTAAAACAATATATTATTTATAATTTTTTACCAACAAAAAATACTTAATTATATACAACATTCAATAAATCCAGAAAAAAAGATTTTTATTTGAGAAAGATTCCCAAAATCCTGGATCCGCCTATAGGCACATATATCATATTTATGTCACTGTATCTCCATGTATATCATACACATGTATATATGGGTGTACAAAAATATACATGGAATATACATAATTGAGAATACACAAATACATATGAGCGATATACAGGATAATATACACAGATATACATTACCTCAAAAAAATCATTTTCACTATTTTCACACACCTCAACCACAATACCACCACAAAAACACCTTAACCTCATTCCAATTCAACAAGTAAAAAGAAGAATAAGAAGAAAATGGACAAAGTTTCAAGCATCCCAGGCCACGAAATGACTCCAAAACAGCAGCAACCAAAAGAACTTCAACCACAACTAATCCCAGTTCAAAATATTCTCAGTGAAAATTACAAAATTTAAATACTCGGAGCTCATATGTTTGAGTTATAAGAAAACAAGTAATGTTTAACCATTAATTTATGTTCCATATTTAAATGTGGTGGAAAAATAGACGATACGTGGATTAACGGAATGTTGACGGGTGACATTTGAATGAGATCAATAAAGAAGAATGATGAGGCACGGTTAAAATACCTACAAAATTGATTGCAAAAGGTACCGTACCTAACAAATGGAAAGGAAGAGGTAGGCACGGGAAGTATGAAGATTAAAGAAAAAGAAGATGCACCAGCAATTACGAATATGAAAAGAGGATCAGCATAATCCCTGATTATACGCGATTATTTATTATTACCCTAACAATTACGAATAATTCGAGTAACAGCCAATTATTATAGTTAATATTAGTAACGGGCAAAAATTAAGCAGGGGAAAATAGTAATTTAATTAAACTTAATCATTTTCAATAAAATATAGTAAAAATTATGAATATCAAATATACTAGTAATTGTTGTAATTAATTATTTGTAAAGCACTTTATTTTCTAAATTATAACACTAGTTTTAAATCATTAACATAGTAATCTAATTAATCGAATTTGAGAAGTAATTTGTCAAATTAATTATAAAACCTCTAAGGGGTATAAAAATTATTATAATAGTATTAAAATACTGAGTATATTTATAATTACGTAATACTAATATTAGGTTATTAATTTTAGAAATAACACTTAATTAATTTTGTAAAAATAGATAATTATTGATAAAAAATATTTTTAAAATATTTATTTTAAATCATTGAGTATAAATAAATAAATTTTAAAGGGGAGGGTCAAAATTGGCCATCAACAGTTGGTTGATTTGAGCTTGGCGAGGCTAGGTTATTGGGAACATATTTGGTTCGTAATACTTTGGAAAAGGTAAAATTGATTCAGGAGCGGCTCCGTAATGCACAATACAGGTAGAACAGCTATGCTGATAGGAAGGCTAGTGATGTGGCATCCATGGTGGATGAAAAGATTCTACTTAGAGTTTCGCCTACGAAAGGCATGATGAGATTTGGGAAGAAGGGCAAGTTGAGCCCCTAGTATATTGGTCCATTCGAGTTTTTGGAGAGAATTGGTGAGATGACTTATAGACTTGGTTTGCCACCCAGCTTATCGGGATTTCATTCGGTGTTAATGTTTCCATGCTTCAGAAGTACTATGAGGATCTGTCACATGTGTTAGATTTTAGATCAGTGTTGTTGGACAGGGATATGAATTATGATGAGGAGCCAGTGACCATTTCTGATAGGCAAATTCGAAAGCTAAGGTCGAAGAATATTGCTTCAATGAAGGTTTAGTGGAGAGGTATATCGGCCGAAGAGGTTCCTTGGGAAACTGAGCATGATATGCGGAGCACATATCCTCACCTTTTTATATCCTAGGTATGATTCTAAACTCATTCGAGTACGAACATTTGTTTAAGAGGGAGAGAATATACCGACCTGACCGGTCGTTTTGTGTACTTGAGCTCCGTTCCCATGTTTGATGCTCCATGTGTATGTATTTGTTGTTATGTCACTTGCGAAGATGACTGGTTTGGTTTTGGGAAGGTTTTGGAATGAATTGGAATACTTAGTTCCATGGTTGGAGGCTTAAGTTATAAGAGTTAACCAATGTTTGACTTTTATATAAACAATATCAGGTTGATGATTCGATGGTTCCAATAGGTTCGTAGGGTAATTTTGGAATTAGGCGTATGTCCGAATTTGGAGGTTCCAACGGTTGATTTGGCTCTAATTGTCGAAAGTTGGGAATTTGAAGGTTTGAAAAGTTTATAGGTTTGATTAGGAGTTGACTTTGAGGATATCGGGGTCAGATTATTGTTCAGGGACTTGAAATAGGTTCGTTATGTAATTTTGGACTTGTGTGCATATTTTGGTTGCATTCCGAGTTGGTTTGATAGGAATCAGACATTTTGTTAGAAGCTTAAAATCTTATAAACTTAAGAGAAGTTCCATTGATGGTTTGATCATCGATTTGTAGATGTGGTGATCGTGCATATGTTTTGAGGTTTTGGTTAGGTCAGAGTACTGATTGCAGACTTATTGGTATGATTGATCGGGGTCCCGGGTGGCTCGGGTGAGTTTCGGATCCCTGGAGCTTGGTTAAATTACTGAAAGACTGTTGGTGGCTGGTGTGCTTCGCAATTGCGGAGCAGGTCTCACAATCACGAAGGCTTATTTGGGGCAGTGGCATTTTGTTATTCAAATTCGCGATAGGTGTGTTGCATTCGCGAAGCTTTGTGATCACTGACATTCGCATTCCCAACCTGGCCATCATGTTTGCGTAGAAGGACGGCAAGCTGGAGAAAGGTGGAGCTAAGCCTTCACATTCGTGTGGGCTTGATCGTGTTCACATAGGCTAGGGGTTGGTAGTGCATCGCGTTCGCGGGCGGTGGATCGCATTCGCGATGGGTCTTTTGAGGCAGGAGCTGATTTGTTCTTCGCAAACGCGAGGCTTGTGTCGTGTTTGCAAAGTGCAACACTAGGTAGACTATAAGTGACGTAATTTCGGGACTTAGACCCATTATTTTATATTTTGATCTCTAGACTTGGAGAGACGCGACTTTTGAAGAACATTTTCACACAAGGCAAGAGGATTAGTGATTTCTACTTAACTTTAATATTATATCTTATTTTCCCATGGATTATTACATATAGATTATGAGATTTGAAGGAGAAATTTGAGAATTGTGACTATGATTTTGGAGAGTGAAAATGGAGATTTGAATCCCGATTCGAAGTCAGATTTGGATGAAACTTATATATTTGGACTCGTATTTGAATGAGTAATCGGGATTTGTGACTTTGGTCGGATTTCGAGAAGTAGGTCTAGATTGACTTTTTGGTTGACTTTGTGAAATTTGATAAAGATTGGAGCTTTATATTGGAATCGATTTCTATAGGCGTATTTGATATTATTGAGTTATTTTTTACTAGACTCGAGCCATTTGGAAGTCGATTCGCGTGCGAAGAGCCTTTGAAGTATTTTTTTTATTATTATTAAAATTTCCCAGATAGAGGTCTAGGTTGTGTTGTATTCAAAAAAGCGCAAGAGGGGGACTAGACCTTACCTTAAAAAATACACAACGGTGATTTCATCACCCCAAAAAAAAACAGGAAAGGAGGTTCATATAATCCCTCCTTCCTGAGAATCTATGAATATATTAACTGACGAAAAAATTAGATTTTTCGTACTTCGTCCTTATACTAGGAAGTTGCCATTTGTCTAAAAGAAAAGGTCATTTAACACTATTGGGTAGTTGTTGGATTGAGTGGAACACTCTCCTCTTATTTGTGGTAATGGCCAACTTTGCAAGACAATCTGCTACTTGGTTATCTTCTCTGAAGCAATGCTTTACATTAATTCTAGCATGTTGAACAATGTTGGAGGTTCTATCAATCAGCATCTTGATCTTCAAGTTGTTTGTATCTCTTTCTGTAAGAATCTCGACAATAATCATAGAGTCAAGTTCAAGAGAAAAATTAGCATATCCATTTTGGCTACACCATTTCCCTCCAAACTCAGTCGTTTTTGCATCCGCCATTTTGTTACTATCACAATTGATAGGCATAGAAAAAGCCATAATGAGGTCACCATGATAGTCCCTGACCACCCCATCAATGCCTGCTTTTCCACTTTCCTTGCTAAAGCTACCATCGGTATTAACTTTGACAGTTTCCGGCAAAATAGGTTCCCATATAATTTGCATCTATTTTTTGATGGCTTGAGTCTCTCAATTTTTTCACATAATGAAGGCCAATCCAATTGAGTAAAGTCATCTGGAATATATTTGGACAGAGGCGGATCAAGCAGATGTGAGGCCTAAAGCCAAAATTTAATATGTAGCCTAAATTTTTAAAAGGAAGTTATAAGATATATTTTATTTGAAATATATTCTTCTAGCTTTTTGAGATATAAAGTTGTTAATAATCTTTTGTATAATCGATATTTTCTAATAATTCTTTTTCAATTGATACTATAACAAACTCATTTAGTCTTTCTTGAGATATTGTTGGTTTTAGATAAGATATTATAGAGCAATAGAAGTATAGAACTGTTGGAAGCTTAAAAGTATTGTTGAACACTTAAACTAATAAAATTTTAGAGAAAGAATGTGAGTAAGAATATTAAAGAGAAAGCCAAAAAATATGTAGGGGTTTTTGAAATATGAAGAGATTGGGAAAAAGAAAGATTGACTTGAACAGATTAAGAAAGGGGGAGTAAAAATTTTATACATTATCTAATGAAGGAGTAAAAAGTAAAAAATTGGAACATTGGAAAAACTATTCCGCTACCCATTTTTAAGTAAGTCAAATTATTACTTTATTTATATATATAAAAAACTCTACTTTTGTATTAAAAGTACTCAATGCTATTTTTTTAAATACCTATAAACCTATTATTTTTAAAAAATGGGGCCCCTCAACTTTGGGGACCTAAGGCATAAGCCTTACCTATTATAATGTTAAAGTCGGCCTTTTATTTGGATGATTGCTGCTTTTAAGGTCCAAATGCTTTGATATCTCATGGTGTTTGGTTGAAACTTCTTCTGCTTTCCATATCTACACACATTTCTCTGCTTCCAAAGTTCCTAACATATGACCATAGGAGCTATCTGAAGGATTTATTTATGCATCTATTATTGGCATTTGTCTCCCACCATCTCTTGAAGGTAGCAATTATAGGTTCTTGTTGGTGCTTGATTCCAATGGAATTCCAAATGAAGTTAGCTGCATCACTATTATTTAAAATATGTTGCATTGTCTCCACCTGCGCAGAAAAACAAAAGGAATATCTAGAAATTATATTAGTACCAAGTCTGCCTATAACATCATCAAAGGGCAATCTATTTTTAGAAAGTCTCCAAGTGACAAAAGAAATTTTAAAGGGAATAGAGCTATGCCAGATTTTGTTTATAAAATTATTTTTTTGCTTTTAAAATCTAATAGATTTCCATGCTGAATTAGAAGAAAAATATCCATTGTTAAAAATATTCCAAACAGGAAAGTCTTCTTCATTATGATCACCAATATCCAATTGAACAATGAAGTCAATAAGATGACCAGGGAGAACTTCATTAAGTTTGTCGATATTTCATCCTCCATTATGCAAAAACTACTTCACCTGTACTTTAGCATACCTACCACTACCTTGTAAGAGATTGACTAATGCACCTTTGCCGGTCCAGTTGTCCCACTAGAAGTTATAATTATCATTTTGAACTTCCCATCTAATGTTATGCTCCGCTTTGTCTCTAATCCTTAACATATTTTTCCATATATGAGAATCAGTTGGACTAGATCTTTTGTTCACCAGATGAGCTCTTTTACAGTATTATTCTTGAGAAAAGTGGCCCAAAGGGAAGGTTGAGTTCTGAATCTCCACCACCTTTTGATGCTAAGAGTGTCAATGATGTCCTCCATTTTCCTGACATCAACTCCTCCCTCATCTTTAGGGAGACAAAGATTATTCCATGAAGACCAATGATATTTATTTCTACCTTCGTTAGAGCCCCAAAAGAAATTAGCAAAGTGTTTCTCCATGAGCCTAATAATTCCTTTAAGAGGGTTCATAACATACAATATATAAATGGGAAGAGACTGCAGGACATGTTTGATCAAGATCATTTTCCCCAGGAGACATCATATTGGCTTGCCATCCATTGAGCTTTTTGATTATTTTGGAGAGCATACCATCAAAGAGACTGCTTGTCTTTCTCCCATAATATATAGGGCATTCCAGATAAGTAAATGGGAAAGACTTATTTGTAAAACTAGTGGCATTTCTAATTTTGTTGATTTTGTTGGCACAAGTATGAGGAGTTGTGATAAAGAAACTCTTGGCATTGTTAACTTTTTGCCCCAATGCCTTTTCATATCTGCCAATAACCTTCTTGATGAGCCTGATAGTGATAATGTTACCTCCACAGAAAATAACAATATCATCTGCATAAGCTAACTGGTTAATAATTGACCCTATGTGATCCATACTAAAAGGAGTATAGCTAATAAACTCATTCAGCTCATTGAGAGATCTGGAAAGAACATCAACTCCAATAATAAACAAAGAAGGGGATAAATGGTCCCCTTGTTTGAGGCCCTGTGTAGATGTGAAGAAACCAGTTCTTGCCCCATTGATAATGATGGAGTACCAGACTTCCTATAGAAGCCCCCACATAAGGTCAATCCAATTTTCAAAGAAGCCAAACTTCCTCATTACTGCCACCAGGAAGGTCCATGAAATTTTGTCATAGACTTTCGCCATGTCAAGCTTTATAATAACATTGCCTCCTTTGTTCTTCTTGTTCACACCTTGGACAATCTCTTATGCTAGAAGGATATTTTCAGTAATAAATCTTCCTTTGACAAAGCCACTCCGATTCTCAGAAATGAGCTTCCCTAGAATAGGATTTTGGAGATAATCTTGGCCATAAAGTTACTCAAACTAATAGGTCTCAAATCTGGGAAACTACTAGGAGAGTCCACTTTAGGTATAAGAGCAAGGCAGGTATAAGAAAAGAACTTAGTAAGTCTCCTACCATTGAAGACATTTGAATAAATTCTATAATGTCATCCTTAATGATATCCCAACATATTTTGAAAGAATTCCCCATTGTAACCATCAGGACCAACTGAACTAGTAGGACTCATGCTGAATACAACATCTTTAACCTCTTCAATATCAGGAATGGCTGTAAGAATGTCATTAACATCATCATTAATACACTGAGGAATTCAATTGATGATATCTTGATCCCTGAAATGGTGTTTGATATTAAAGAACTGTTGAAAGTGGTGAACAACTGCTTTGCCAATATTAGCATCTCCTTCAATCCACTAACCTCTGTGGTCCTTAATTTTATGAAGTTGCAGTCTTCTTCTTCTATCTCTGATGGTGCTATGAAAATATTTAGTATTAGAGTCACCTTTTTCAAACCAATTCACCTTAGCCTTCTGCCTGAGAATGACATCCTGCATCCCCATTTATCTAATGTATTCTGCTTGGCATTTATTCAATTCAGCCCTAGAATGATCATTACTGTTATTGAGATCGATTTGCTCAAGATCTTGCATTTTGTTTTCCCAAAACTAGACTTGATCAAAGACATTGCTAATATCTTCTTTGGACCATTGAGTTAGTCTTCTACTAAGCATTTTAAGCTTTTGTTGTAACCTCCACAAAAGGGTTATCATGAACTTAATTACTCTATACTTCTTCTACTATCTGCAAAAAAAATGGTTGACTAGTCCAGAAATCAAGAAATTTAAAATATTTAATCCCTTATTGATTTTGATCATGACATTGAATTAGAACAGGCCTATGATCAGACCCAATTCTAGCCAAGTGATTGACTATACTGTTTTGAAAAATCTGAGACCATTGATCATTAATAAATATTTTGTCGAGCCGCTTTCAGCTTCTTTTTCTAGGTTCCCAATTGTTACACCATGTATACTTTGGCCCAACAAATCCCAAATCTACTACACCACAATTATCCATACAAGTATTGAATTCAAGATTTTTGTTATTCTATGTGGTCTGCCACATTTTTTCTCATCGGGGTCTAGAATGACATTAAAATCACCCCCTCCAATGCACCATGGACCATTCACCTGGAGATGAGTGCTCTCTAAGATATTCTATAGATCTCTCCTTTCTTCAAGAGTGCATTTAGCATAAACTGTTGTGAGACAGAGATCACTATTATCAGCCCCGTAATGGAATTTAATAGTGATTTGTTGATCATTGTCGTTCAAAATAGTTGTCATGTTATTACATGACCACATGATCCAAATTTGATCATTAATATTGGAGATACAGTGTTGATAGCCAAGGAATCTCCTACATCTCTCAATTTGATTGATGCTGGCAAAAGGTTCCAAAATAGCAACAAGTTCCACCATATTGATCGTAATCAATTTTTTTAACCTTGGTAAGTCTTTTTTGGTATTGACTCCTCTAATGTTCCAGAATATTGCACTTATCATGGAAAAATCAGAGAATTAGAGTGAGTTTCCTCCTTTAGGAAGTGTAGTATCTTTGTTTTTTCTTTTTTCCTTTTTTCTTCCCCTTTTCTTTGCCTCCTATGACCTGGAAAGGACCCTCTTTCGATTCTATTTCTAGTTGGTCATCCGGAATCATGACAGTCACCCTATTAGGGGAAGTCACTTCAATTTGTTGTCTAGTAACATGTTTGTCCTATTTTAAATTGGATTTAACATTGAGATCGACTACCACATCAATTCCAGGGAGGTTTCTAATCTCAGAAGGTATGCTAGTTGATTCATTGACGTAGTCTTTCAATGTAAGAGCTTTCTTTTCTGCTTGTTTTTCCTCCTGATCTCCATTTTCTTGTATAGATTCCTGATAGTTTTCTTTGGCTTCACTGTGATTTGGAGTTCCAATGCCTTCATTGTTGCTTCGATTTCTGACTAGGTTATCATGACTATGAGCTTCCACCTCTCTATTATAGCTCTGTTGACTCTGTTTATCCTTGATCTCAATATGTTCACTTCCCTGATCCAGTTCTTGTAAAGCCATTGTTATCTTTTTATTGCTCTTCTTGCCCTTGTTTGTGACTTCTGAAGGATTGATCATAGGTTTGAAAATGACCTTAGCCTTCTTATTGGGAAGTTTCTTCTGCTTGCGCTTCTCAACATCATTCTTTTGGCACGACAGATTCTTTGTCATATTAGCACTAGTTTGAGC